CTCTCTCTCTCTCTCTCTCTCTCTCTCTCTCTCTCTCATTCCTACTTGCTCACACATGCACATACTAGGATTCCCACTCAGTCCAAAAAACAATGTGCCCTAAGGGTTCCTCAGCCCTCATTCCCAGCTGCACTCCCTTCTTCTAGACCAGAGTCTGGAAATCTCAAAGATGCAATAGAAAGTCTCAGTGGAGAAGATCAGGCTTTTCTATCTCCTTTTTTTTTTTTTTTTTTTTGGTTTGGTTTTTCGAGACAGGGTTTCTCTGTATGGCCCTGGCTGTCCTGGAACTCACTCTGTAGACCAGGCTAGCCTCAAACTCTCGAACTCAAAAATCTGCCTGCCTCTGCCTCCCAAGTGCTGGGATTAAAGGCGTGCACCACCACAGCCCGGCTAGGCTTTTCTATCTCCTAACGTTTGTCACATATCAGGAAGGAGTAGGACTTGTCCCTGCTGCAGCCCTCCCTGCTTTGTCCCCTTTACAAGAAGATGGTCATAGAGACAGCATGCTGCTTTGGGGCTGCTGTGATTATGATGAATGGTTATTTTATTCCACTGCTCTGCTAGACTATGGCTCTGGTCTCTGTGCAGTAGCCTGCAGTAGCCAGTTTGAGACAGTATGATAGGAACCATGTGTGGGCATCAAAGGTGAGAAGCAGAAAACCCTGGGAAACATCCACCCATCCACCCAACCTCTGAAAACCTAACACAGGGTCTGCCCAATCAGAAGCAGGTATGCAAATGACCCTGAGTCTGATCTGGCTTGGTGGGACTTGCTTCAGGGTTTCTCATCCCGGCTTGTCTTTGCTGAGATCTGGACAGGACGGTACACAGGTGACTAAAAACAACAGACACATCATTCCCCAGCAGTCTGGCCAGCCCCGTTGTTAACTAATGTTATTACTGTTATTAATGAAAGAAAGGTACTGGAAAGACAGCTCAGTAGGTAAGTGTGCGCACTGCTCTTGCAGGGGATCCAACTTCCATTCCCAGTAGCCTTCTTAGGTGCTCACAACTATCTATAACTCCAGCTCCAGGAGAGGCAATGCCTTCTTCAGGGGCACCTACACTCATGCACATACTTTCACACAGACACATACACATAAATAAAAATACAAGAATTTAGTCTGGCGCAGTGACACATGACTTTAACCCCAGCATTGGGAGGCAGAGGTAGGCAGATCTCTGAGCTTGAGGCCAGCCTGGTCTACAGAGTGACAACTTCCAGGACAGCCAGGGCTGCACAGAGAAACCCTATCTTGCAAAACAAAACAAAAACAAACAAATAAAAAGAGAGTTCTTTAAAGACAAAAGAAAAGCTAAAATGAGTAGGCTATAAGTGCATATTTGTTTATTTCTGCATTGAGAACTGAGTAAGACCGATTACCTCTGGGGAGGAAGACTGGTGAGACAGGAAATCGGGTTCTTCATGCCCTTCTGGACATCCTGAATTGGAACCATGTGACCATATTGCCCTGTCAAAATAAATAAGTGGGCTAAACACCAACTGTCTTCTCTTTTCTTTTAAACAAGCTGTGTGTAGCAAGGGAGTGGATGGCCCAAGTTCTTGAGGCCTAGAGAAGTAGGTGGCCTGGAGTACTGTCCTGGCCTTTCCTTTCTTGTATCAATTTGGGAGCAATGCTAAGCTTCAGTCAATGGCTCCCTCCATCTCCATTCTTTCTGTCAGAGGAGGGAATAATAAAAAGCAATGGAAACGGGGGCTTCTGCTTGGCTAAATACCCAGGTTAGACCAAGAAGTGACATGCCAGATGCCCAGGCTAGACCAATAAGTGAAGTGACAAAAACAGTGTTGGGTGCTGCTCAGTTTCTGACCAGAGAGGCAATTCATTCAAGAGCTCAGACACCTGGAGCATTTCACTACCTTCTCTCTGTCCCGCCCAAATCTTACATTCTCTCATAGGTTGATGTGGAACCATGGATGAGGAGGGAGTCAGTCAGTGGAGAGAAAGCGGACTCCAAAGAACAGGGAGGGAGTCTTCAGTAAGGAGCAGGGCTAACAGTGGCTGGCTTCATTTATCACATGGTCTGGGGTGGGTAGAGAAGGACGAAGGACAGGCAGATGCTGTGGGGATGTGGGAGCCAAAGGGGATTGCGGTCTGCTGTGGGGATGTGGGAGTCAAAGGGGATGGCGGTCAGTTGTGAATTCTGACTTCATTACTCCCCATTCTTCCAACCAAAAGAGTTCAAGTCTCTTTGAAATGCACATCTTCTGAGGGTGGTACCACTACTGGGCTAGGTCTGTAAGAAAGCAGGCCAAGCAAGCCATGGGAAGCAAGCCCGTAAGCAGCACCCTTCTATGGCCTCTGCATCAGCTCCTGCCTCCAGGACCCTGCCCTGTTTGAGTTCTTGTCCTGACTTCTGTTGGGTTTAGTGTGTCCTGGACCAGTTGTTGGGTAAAAGTGTGTCCCACATCTGTCCTGCCACGGGGATAGAGCCACTTGTGGAGATAGAGGCATGGAAAGTTTGACTGTACTCTCCCCACAGCTGCACCGGGTGGGCGTCAGCCTATGTGGGATGGGGGGAGGCAAGAGCTAGCTCATCTGGTTCTTGGGCTCTTGGGCCTCTAGGCACCACTAGGAGCTGCAAAAGAGCCAAGAACAAAGTGGGGGCATACAAGCTGGATTGGCCTGTGGCCAAAATGGGAGAAAGGGAGAGAAACAAATCTATGGAAGGCTGCAGTCTCACGTCAGGAGTCTGGAGTCTGGGAGCGTGGCTAAATGCCTGCCCTCCTGCGGGTTCACCTGCAGGATCTCTGGAGGTTTCTAACCTAGCTCAACCAAAAATCAGGCTGCCTTTCACAGTCCTACAGACTTCCTTCTATGATGGATTATGCTGTGAAAGTGTGAGCCAAACAAATCCTTTCCTCTCCAGTTTGTTTTTGGTTTTGGCCATGGTGATTCATCACAGCAACGATATCCCTAACAAAGACACCATCCTTTTATGGCTCCTTCTCAAAGCTGGTGGCAGCATCGGGGCTCATGGGAAAGGAAACAGAGGAATACTACTTGCCACCACCAGGCACACTTGAAACTCATTTCCATGATGCCCAGCTCTAGACTGAAGAGCTAGAGTGTGCGTATGAGGTCGTGTGTATGTGTGTGTGTGTGTGTGAGCAAGCACACAGTTCTAGTTGTGATCCATGTGATCTATGTCTCACCACCTTCCCGAGCTCACCCATGGCGGTGGGGGTGGTGGGAGCAGACATCTAGATCATGGGAACCTAAGCCCAGCTCAAGTCAGGAGGGTTGCAATGGGACGCCAGTTCCCTACCATATCTAGTCTCTTCTGTAGCCCACTACCATTGTCTACAGTATTGGCCTTAGATTTATCAGATGGTGAGAAGGGAATAGCAAGAGGAGATTGACATCCTGGTAGATTGAATGAACCAACCAACATTCAGAGCTTTAGGGATGGAGGCCTGTGGTCCTGAGAAGCTGGGCAAGGGTATCCCCGAGGCTGAACAGAGAGAATGACTAGGTCTTCTCTGGGAATGAAGACTCAGACACCCACTGAGGGGCGTACAAGATGTTCCAGGTACCTCTCCCCCAAGTTCAGTTCCAGACTCCAGCTCTACGGACCTGAAGGAATTCTTTCTTGCAGAAAAGAGTTTCAAGAAAGTCAAGCACAGTGATGCACACCCAGCATTGAAGAGTCTGTGGTCAAAGGATCATGAGTTTAAGACTAGACAGAGCTACTGTTACGATTTGAATATATAACTAGACAAAGCTACTGTTATTAATTTAATATACACTGCCCCCCCCCATAGATTTGTGATTTGAATGGTTTCTAAAATGGTGGTGCTATTTTTGGAGGCTCCGTAAACTTAGAACATGGTGTCAAACTGGAAGAAGGAGGACACTGGGTGGGCTCTTGGAAACTATAATCTCTGGCTGCTTCCTGTCTTGCTCTCTCTGCTTCCTGGTCAACCATGGTGCCCATTGCTATGCTTTACCACACTGTCCTCACCATAAGAGACAGAACCTCCTGAAACCATGAACTAAAATAAGTCTTGTAGCAGGATACTTATTCTGCTACATTGTATTTCAAAATGGGTGTGATTCTGAGTTGTGTAGTTATAGTTTTCCTCTGGAAAAAAAGGTCAAAATAAAGGTTTTTCTGGTTACTGGCTCAAGGATATTGTGATTTTGGAGAAAGGTTTTGTCTGTGTGTTTCAGAAGAGGTCATTAAGGTAGTTATACCTTCCAGAATTGTATGGATCAGACACGACAGAGGCAGGCTTCCAGAAGACTAGATTCCAGAGAATCAAACAAAAAAGTATCTTAATACTAAAATTTGTTTTGAGATTTGTATATTACAGAATATACAGCCTTGGTGAATGAATCTCCTCATCAGAACATGCTGAACTGACCTGCTTGAACTCCTGATGTCCTAGACTCCCAGCTGGATCCAGTTAAGACATTGACATCTCAGAGGCTTATCATTTGCTGATGTGGCCTTCTTAGGCCAACTAACTCCCCTATTTACTCTTCCCCCTGCCCCTCTTCAAATATCTCAACACCCAAATTCAGCTTGAAGAAGTTAATGAAG